TTAAAGCTATTTCCATTAATGATACCAATATTCGTAAATTGATAGAAAGTTTAACAACTTTTTATATACGAATTTTATTTATTTAATTTGATTTTTTTTCAAAACTTTTTATTTATTTCTAAATAATATCGTTCTTGTTTCTCAACAAAAACAGATTTTAAAACAGTTGAAATATTAATATTTAATAAAAAAAACACAGAAATATTCAATATGTTGTACTTAACTGCAACGAAATCCAAAGCTTTTTAGTCTCATCTTGTCGGACTTGATGTTCTTAGTGGTTCTGCTTATCCTAATAAATATATTGAAAGAAAAACGAGAAAATCAATCATTTATATTTAACAAATAAATATACTTTTAATTCTTCATATTGTTGATAAAGTTTTTCATGTAATTGGATATGATTTTTTTGTTATTTTCCCTATGAGAATTAATATCATTAAGTGAATCTGATTGTCCCTTAGAGAGAAGTTAAGGACAATGGCTCATAAGAATCATCTTTAGTTGTGATTGATCCATGGTCTATTAAATGTAGAATTTCGCGTGGAATCATTTGAGAATAAAATCCAGCTATTTCCGAAAGGTCTGGACACACTTTTGCTCAATACATTCTCATTCATTTCTGTACCATAAACATATGGTTTATATATAGAAGCATCAGACATCTTCAATAGAAAATAGTCATAAACTACTCAATATCCTATAGGATGTGTCTTTATTTGGTGAGCGACATCACATTCACACTCTAATACATTCTATAATTATCAAGAGTAATCTTTATAGAAATCCATTAGTCTCTCCAATAGGAGCATACCTGCAACAATATGCACTAGTTGTTATGGCAAAAAAGATGCTCGATATGCGTATGTGTCATATATGAAAGAAAAATAATTTTCAAATTCCATATTCGGTGTTACACATCTCGAAAAAATTGTTGATATTTGAAAGATCCAATTTTTGTTAAAAATTCAATATAATCATCTAGATCCATGTTGTCCTCAAAAGATTCAAAGTTCGATCAATGAGCATTTGACTTTAGCCATCCGATAGATTGAAGAATTTGTCTATGAAAATGTTGTTCTTTGATTTCTAAGATGATGTCTTTTCTAGTTAATCAATGGGTACATCTTCAAATTTGTTGTTCTAAGTGTTAATGAAGATAATACACACAAACAAATGCATGCATACATCTTTAGAATAACAACAGTTGCTTTTTCTCAACCAAGAACAAAATCATAATAAGAGATTTACCGTCTCATGTGGTGAGTCATGAATATATTGCATTAAAAATTGGTAAATAATACCATTTGACCTGTACATATCATTGAAAATCTTTAATAACTTTGATCTAAAGTTTTTGAGAGAGCTGTCCTCAACTTGAAACTAGAGTTAAGATCAAGTCTCAATCGAATTCTCCGTTATATTCTACCTTTTGTTTAATATAGTAAGAAAAAAAGAGACTATTTCTGGTAAACTTTTCTCAATAAGAAAGAAGAAATGATAAAATGAAATAAAAGAAGATATAGATTGTAAAGAGGCAGATGTCAATGTGAGCTGGGACAGTTTCTGTCAAGCTTGTTTAGTGAGAAGATAATAACTAAATGAACTGAAATAAATCTAATTCTATTCAATTTTTGATGGTGAATAAGAATAAAATTCTTTTCTAGAAGAAACAATAAGATAAAGTATTCAACTATCCAATATTTTTCGAAATCTATGTTTTTACTAGATTTTAAAATGTTATTTGTGGTTTTATACTTTGGATCCAAGACATGGTTATAAAAAAAAGATAAAGATAATATTGAAAATAATCGTTTTAAAGTCTATTAGATGATGTCTCATATCGTCTATCTTAGATTAGTTGATGTTGGCATAAATAAATGAATGATATTATATAATAATGATTTTTTTTTCTTTTATGTTGAAATGAAAGAAAAAAGAATAGTTTTCTGATGAATTTATATAATGATGATTGAATAAATAAAATTAATTAATTAATTAATCAAAGTATGAATGTTGATCTTTATTAAAATATAAAAGAGAATTGAGAAAAAAAGTCAATTGATTATTTATCTTTCTAAGAAGCAAACAAGTTCAACCAATTTAGCCAAATTAGTATTTGATGCTGCAGATAAATTATCTATATAATCGAAAAAAAGAAAAAAGAAAAAAGAAAAAAGAAAATTTGAAATAAAAATCTATTTGAATTAAACTAACCATTAGATTTGGGAAGAACATAAATACCTCCTGAATCAATTTGCCAAGCACGTTCATTACAAATCTGTTGAACCATTTTTCGATTAAGACCAAAAAATTTTTGAAGATCATCAAATGAAATTGATTTATATGCAAGTTCAATTAATTGAACATTTTGTATTGTAACTCGAGCTAAAATAATTGAAATAAATTAATTTAAATAAAAAATAAAAATAAAACAAACAAATTAATTGTTGAATATATTGATTTATTTGAGGTGATATATCATATAATGAACTATTTTCAACTCCTCTTTGACATAATCTATAAAAATCTTCATATTGTTTTAAATTAAGTGATGAAACTAATGAGGCTAAGAATTGAAATTCTTTATCCTATTTTTAATTTAAATAAAAATAAAAAATCTTTATTTCAATTTATTTTTTATTTTTCATTCATACTGTTTTCATATTAGCTGGAAGATTTTCCCATAAGAATTTCGCTTCATTACTAAATAAATTAAAATATTTATTAACAATAAATAATAAATCAATTAAAATAAACTTACATTTTTGATAAACATAAATATGTTACCATTAATTCTTTGTAAACATCTATTGGAATACTATCAATTGGACTCTAAATTTATAAAAAACAACAACAACAACAACAACAACAACAAGAAAATCTTATTAAATATTAACTCACTGTTAAAAGACGATTTTGTAATTGTGATAAATGTTCTCGTTCTTGTTGGAACATAATCAATAATGAATCGGTCATGATTGTTTTAGACGAACTATTTCACAATATAAAACCAAATAATAATTTCATTCATTCACTTAGTTTTTCTTTAAAACAACACAAGGAAAATATTAAACCAATCATAAAACATCCTTTTACTCGAGATTTGTATACGAGAGACATCTTTTTCTTTAGGGCTAAACCTTGAAATCCTGCAATCTTCGATTCCCCTCAATTCTAAGGCTTCATTATGATTCGTTAGAATTTCAAGAATCCTCTAGAATTCCCTAGGATTCTTCAGGATTCCGTAGAGCTCCTCAAGATTTTCACTAAGCTTCTGTAAGTGTGAAAGGATTCCCTCTGTGTCAGAATAGGTTTGGATGTTGTTCTTCTCTTCGACAAGAGCCACACCCTTCACAACAATCATCACCAAAGAGACATTAAAAATAAGATCGTTTTGTTTTATATTTATTTATATCTGTTTAATATGGACTGTTGGCGATATCTATATAGACGTAATAAATTTTACATACAAGAATATATATTCAATAAATATATTTTTCCTGTTTTAATATGTATTATATAATGTTCAAGTAGATATGACCTTATCGTCAATCATTGTTTTATTAGTGAAATTTTCTTAAAATATTTCTATTCAAGCCTTTCTTGTTTTCGTTTTGATATTTTTCAACAAAATTCTATTATTTTGTATGTTTACTGTTATTAACCTAGAATATATTATTGAAATAGATCAATTTGTAACTTCAAGATTTGAAAACAAGAAATTTTCAATGAAGAAACTATTTAAAATATTATTAGAATGTTCTATTAATTGTTAACTATATTTTAATAGATCTTCTGCATTATTAGTACATTTAAAGGCTTTTAGACTGAGAACTTCAATATTCTATAGGATTACCAAAGATTCTCTGATATTCCATTGAATTCCATCAGATTCTTGAGAATTCCACGTTTCGATGATTCCGAGCTTTTCTCCTTGTCTTTTTCTTAGTGAGATTTAGATCTCGATGGAAATTAATCGATTGAGAAGATGATTAAAAGAATAGATCCCATTGAGAATTATTTGAATATTGAAGGAAAAAGATAATAGGAAATTCTAGAGATAGAAGTATATCAACAACGAATCTTTATTTTCTACATATATGAACAATTGTATACAATTACTTAAAGTATTATGCTGAGAAAAGTTTTTTAAATGCAGAAACCAGAATAGAAATTTTTATTATTGGAAGCTAAAACGAATGATTTCGCTTATGTTTATTCTAAGATGAAAATCATTTATGGGAAAAGAAAGAATTTTTTTTTTGTAAATTCATTTCATATTGAACAAATTAGTTTAGAACAATCTCTTTCTCTACCGAGTCAAACGCAAAAGTTAACAAAAAAAAACGTGTATATTTGCAGGAAATTTTCAAAAAGTTGTATTCACTTCTAGGATATAGTTCAATTGATCGTATCTTATTCATAAAAATGCAAACCATTTCAAATATTTTTAATTGTTACGTATAGACGCAAGACAATAGTGCACGCATTGAAATAGAATCTTTTAAGAGTTTTAGCAAAACATGCGAGACTATACATTAGTCTTATTTTTTCAAAAAATAACATGCAACAATCTAGCTTGTTTATGCAAAATATATGACTCGCATATAAATGTCGAAGTGTTATTGTCATGTATTTGCCTAGATGATTAGTATTTTGCTAAATTCTGTATGTTAATGCAAAAAAATTCCTATTTACAAAAACTATTACTAAAGCGATTCTGCGTCAACATGCAAATTTTTATCGTTTTATCGTATGTATGCTGCTTCATGCAACAACGTTATGTTTTTTGTCTATGGCATGTATTTATTTATTTATCATTAAAGTGAAGTCTCTCTCATATATCTACACAATAATGACTCACAAAATCTTGTTCAATTTATTCAATTCGGTTATAATTAATAAATAGTATTCATGTTTAAAGGTGCGTGCCTAGTAATTATCAAATGATTATTATATCTGTCAGTTTTTATTGCATTTCTAATACAAGTTAGATGGTCGACCGATGAAGAAGTTCGTCTTATAAAGTAAAGTGTGGATACTCGAATCCTATCTCTGAAAAAAAAACTTCAGTGTATTCATGTAGGTTTACAGTACGTCCTTCATTTTCTGGTCATTCTAAAATAGTCTTTCAGGTATACATGTGCGAGTACTCTACAAAAAGATTTGTATGTTGTTGCACGTAACGACGATATAAAGCGTGAAAATGCATAAAATTTTCATGAATGTAAACGTGAATATAATTTACTTCGTGACTCATTTTCATGCAAACCATCTCATAGGGAATGATGTATATAGACGCATTTTATAAGCTTTGACTTTTGATTGGATATAAAAGGACAGTGATATCGGTGGTATATTAGGGAGAATGGATACACTGCTCTAACGACATTGACTTTGTTCGATAAATAAACTTCTTTTTAAGTTGATTTCTAAGGTTATCTCTCTGATCGTAACTATGTCTTATGTCCGTATGAACCTCTATATCGGTAATTTGCTGAATACATAAGATTACTAAATAAATAAAATAATTGACATAAATGTTGTCTGGACTTATTGAAGAGTATTAGTTTTTCATCGTTTAAAATCTAAAACTATTGAGATAAACAAAGAGTATGATTTTGATTATTTCAAATTGATTGATTAGAAATAAGTGTCGCTATTCTCATAAGATCATTTTATTAGAATATAATGTATTTTAATTCTATTAAAAGAGAGCTAAAGATATGAGAAAAGACAATCAATAAAATTCGTTTGATTTCACAGTAAAATGAATTTTGAAAATTTATTCTAAATAAATCTAAAATAAAAAGTGGTGTAAACTCTAAATAGTTTCTATATCAATAATAGTCACATATAATAAAGAATTAATAGGTGAATATCTGATGTGAGAGAAGTTGAAAGTGAAGAGATATTTCAATGATAAATTTCTATTGATAATCTCATGTAAATAATTTATATATGAGAAAATCTCATTTTATCAACGTTTAAATAAATAGATTTCGATCATTTTTTACTTCTATATATATTAGATGAGAAACAAAAAATAATTTAATAATAATTGTCAAATAAGATTCGAGATTTGTCATTAATAAGATAGAAAAAAAAAACTGTTCATTATGAAATATAAGTAAAAAGATAAAATAATGAAGAAAGACGCGTTAAGAATAGATTTGTATAAAGATAAAATGAATATAAAATCATTCAATTTATTATTGATAGATGAAGTTGTTGTCGATTTACTGAAAAATAAGCACCAATTGCATTATGAAATAAAATTAATTGTTGTTTCATAACTTGAATCTAAAAAAAAAAGAAAAAAAAAAATTTTTGTTAGAAAATAAAATTG